GGCAGAGGGGAGGTGGGCAGGGGAGAGAGACCCTGGGTCCCCAACCTAGAGCCCCCAGTTCCTCACTGAATGGCCCTGAACACGAGTGCTTTGCTGAGCCTCAGCTGTCCAATCTGTAAAGTGGGATCATAGCAGTGTCGGCCTCATCAGGCTTCAAAGCAGTCCAGTGTGTAACTCAAAACACTTTCATTCTGATTAGTTTTTGTTGCTGATATAAGAGGAACCAGTGTGGGGAGTAACAGCCTGTCCATGTCGACCTACTGTGCGCCAGACACTGTGTTAAGGACTTTCAACACACCATATCCCTGCATCACGGCAACAGTCTTGTCGAGGGACTTGTCACCCCATTTTTAGGAGGGGAAACTGAGGCTCAGAGAGGCCAAACCACCTGTGCAAGGTCACAAGGCAAATGACATGGACAGAGCTTTGCTGTGTGCTCACTGAAAGCCTGGGCAGGGAGGAAGATAACCATGCAAAGGGGCCCACAGCCCAGCCCAAGGCTCAGCCCAGGCCCAGCTGACCCCAAGTCCACACCTTTCCGCCACAGTGGACAACAGGCAAGGCGCCAGAGACAGAGCAGCAAAGGAGGAAATTCATGCCGCTGAGAGCAAAACTCTGGGCCTCCGGGAAGGCAGGGTGGGGCTGGGCACCCAGCTGGGTTCCAACGAGCCCTAGCCTGGTGCCCTTGGGCCAAGGATGAGTCTTTACTGAACCTCCCTGCTCGTGCCTAAGCTGGGGATAAGAGAACCTCCACCTCGCGCACTGCGGGGTTCAAGATGCTGACAAAAGAACTCAGCCTGGGGCCGGCCACAGGAACATTACCCCTTAACACCGATAACAACCACAGTAATAATAACGATGACTATGATGTTATCATTCAGCAGCCACAGGCACAAATCGAGTCCTTCCCAGAATGGAGAAGTGACAGTCCATCTGGGAGGCAGAAGGGCAAGAAGCGGGGGAAGGGAGAGGAAAGAACCGAACACCCCTGGAGGCCACATGTCCAGCTCTCATTCATCCGCTTCCTGAATCCTGGAAACAGCCCACAGAGCGGAGTCTGTCCACTGGACAAATGGGTAAACTGAGGCTTCCCAGGGCTGCCCAAAAGCCTTATCAGGCTCCAACAAGGGCCCCCAATTTGCAGGCTTTCGCTTGGGAGTTAGCCTGTGTTCTGGGGCCCCAGAGCACTGTGACAAGGGCGGGGAAAGAATCCTGCAGAAAGTTCCCCCGCAGGGTCCTACTTCTAACTAACAGGGAAATTCAGGTTTCATCCTTCAGTACCCTGTCCTCTGCATGCTCCCACCACCCCCTCGCTACTGCAGAGGTGGGGCCAGACAGCCAGGGCTTGCCAGGGCACTGATGGGCAGACTAAGATAACGCCAGACACCTGTACAGACAGACAAAAGGATCCATTCGGGAGAGAAGCCAGCGTTTGCCAGAGACCAGGCTTTGGAGTCAGCCTAGGAGAACCAGACAACCGAGTCCCCCAGGGTCCAGCCAGCCAAGTCAGGCTGCAGAGGCCAGCCAGAGTAACCCAACAGAAGCACGGCTAAGTGTTAAAGTCTGCGAGGGGCACGGACCGGCGGCCAGACAGCACAGGTCACCCCAGACAACTAGCCAGGCAGCAGGGGCCGCCCTGAGGGACTGGACAGATGGACAGCCAAATGGTGGTGGCAAGGAGTTCTATCCAGGACAGAGAGACAGCCAACCAGACGGCAGGGGCTGCTCCAGATAAATCAACAGCCAGCCAGACCACAGGGGTCGAACCAATAGGTATCTAGCTGGCAGGTTTCGGACAGACAGAGAAGAGGGACCTAACCCTGACCCACTGGCAACCAGATGGTAGAATTCAGCCACGAAAGCTGGGGTCCAGAAGAGTCAGAGACGGTCCACCGCACTTCCTGGCCCACGCCCCCCAGTTGGTGAGACGCCCCAAGGGACTGAGCCGGATCCCCAGACCCTGCAGGAAGCCCTCCGCCCAGGGCGTCCCACAGAGCCCGCCTCCCTGTCCCCGTCCCCGTCGCGGGCACGCAAGCGCCGCAGTTACGCCGGCTGCGCAGGGCGCGCCATTCCCGGTCCGCCCTCCGCGCCCTAGGCCGCCGCCCGCCCGCCCGCCGTCGCCGCCGCGCTCGCTCACCGGCCGACGAAGTTCTCGAGCACCGAGCTCTTGCCGGCGCTCTGGCCGCCCACCACGGCGATCTGCGGCAGGTCCAGGTGGCAGCTCTGGCCAATGGAGCTGAAAGCGTCCTGCAGCTTGTTGACCAGGGGGATCAGCTCTTCCATCCCGCGGTTGCCCATTGCGCCGGTGGCCCTGGCCCGAGCGCCCCGCGCTCCCCGCCTGCTCCGGCCCTTAACGACGCGGCCCCGCGGCGTCCGCGGCCGTTGCTCCCCGCCCGTCCGGGCCTCGGCGCGACGCCCGCTCCCGGCTCGGCCTCACAGTCGCCGCCTCATCCGGTTCTCAGACGACACCCGACCCGAGCGACCTCCCGCCCGGGCCCCGGGGCTGCGCCCAAAGCCCTCACACCGCTCCCGATTGGCCGGTCGCGCTGCCACTCGTACATGCGAGCCAATGAAAGAGAGGTATAGGCCTGTGGTTGAGTGACCCTTCCCCCGAAAGACCTCCCGGCGGGCCCATTGGACTCCAGAACTGTCGATTTTGCGCAAGAGCCAATAGCGTGGGGGCAGCGAGTTGTCAAGGCCAGGAGGCGGTGTTTCGGAAAATATAGGAAAAATAGGCACCGCCTATTGTGGGAGGCACCCTATGGGCAAGAACACCCAAGTCTTATTGGCAGGAAGACCCGCCAGTCAACAGTGCCGGCCAATGACGTTAGGGATCGATTCATCGACTCTGGTTTGTCCCTTGACACTACCTAGTTCCCTAAGAATTCCCCATTGGTTTATATAAATATCACTCCATTCCTCCAGCCAACAAAGCCAAAGAGGACGGGCTTTGACCTCCGAATCCTGACTTTGATCGAGAACTTCTCTGTCAATCAAAGAATCAAAGAATCTCCTGTAATTGTTGTAAGTTTGTTAGAGAGTCTTCTGGAGTAAAGAATAAGGCGCACCATACTCGCCGAAGGGCGACACCTCGTGGTCGGACCCGGTAGTGATAGTCGCTTCTGATTTCCGGCCACGGGAGAAAACTACAAGTCCCAGAATGCATCTCGGCCCTAGGTTGCAAACCAGCATTTCGCGCCGGGTTTCAAAGCGCTTTGAAGGGCAGTGCTGCGTTAGTAGTTCCTGGCGAGAGGCGGTTTAGCGCTGCATCGTTGGCTTTCATTTTCATTCCTGTAAAGTCCCACCTCCACGCTTTTGCAAATGCTGTGCCCTTTCCTAGGATTACCTTCCGCTCACGCCCCGACTTGATTCCGCTACCGCCTGTAACGTCGTTCCCCTGCCTCTTCAACTTGAGCGTTTCGTGACCTTTTCGAGTACCCAATGAAACTCAACGGATCCTCTCCCCAAGTAAAGATATTATTTTGCAGTCGGTGTTGGGGGTTCTGGGAACTAGGAATCTTGACCTCATGGGAAAAAAAGCCAGGGATAGGTGGAAGTATTTTATAAAGTGATCTGATTCCCCTGGGCATAGATTGGCCAGAGAGAAGCCCAATAAGGAGTCAGATGCAACGGAGGTAGGGAAGGGGGCTGATGAGGCAGTAACAGGGGAATGGCAGTGTCCAATGGTATATGCCTGCTCCAAGACCTAAAACCCGGGTCCCAGAGAGGTGGGCAAAAAGTCAACCGACAAGGCTTCGCACTGCAGCCTTGACCGCAGTGACGGAAGCCTGGAAAACACCCTACATCCCCTTCGCTGAGCTCGTTAAATAAATACTGTGCAACAGCTGTAAGACAGGAAGTCTTCATGTTCTGACGTGTAAACAATTTGAAATATACTCAGAGGAAAAAAAGGTACAGAACTGCACACAAAGGGCGTCCACATTCTTGAAAAATATATATACATGGACAATCTCTGGGAGAATACACAAACCGATCAAATAGTTTCATTTTTATGCTATTAGAATACTGGATCCTACACATTGTACACAGGATTACTTTTTCAATATAAAAACCCATATCTTCTCTTCTAAGAGCAGCAGCTCTATAATTGGCCCCGTCTAGGTTAGATCATGTGCCTATTTTTTTGCTCACTTCATTCCTCTGAACCTGTCTCCTCATCTGTAACACAGGGACTGCAGCTACAAATGCATTACAAAGTTGCAAGAATTAAACACACATGGCAACTACTTAGAACAGTACTAGGGAGGTGCCTGGGTGGCTCAGTGGGTTAAGCCTCTCCCTTCTACTCAGGTCATGGTCTCAGAGTCCTGGGATCCAGCCCCACATTGGGCTCTCTGCTCAGCAGGGAGCCTGCAGCCTGCTTCCCCCCTCTGTGTGTGCCTCTCTGCCTACTTGTGATCTCTCTGTCAAATAAATAAATAAAACCTTTAAAAAAAAAAAAAAAAGAACAGTGTAAGCACCTGCTAGATCACACCTACTGTCACCATCACTGTGTTTACTGACAGCAAAATTAAGCCATGCGTTAAGAGTCAAGGCTCAGAGCAGGAGCTCTGGAGCCAGTGGGGGGGGGCCCGGATACTACCTCTCAGTGGTGACCTTGGACAAGCTACTTTCCCTCTCTGCCTGTTTCCTCACCTGTGGAAAGTTGGGGAACAAGTACCCACCCTCAGGCTGGCTAGGGGGCCTGAGCCACGGGAAAAAGGATGCAGCTCCCGTGCTGGGGTACGTCCTACATGCCAAGCTGCGCCAGGTGGTTTCCAGAGAACTGCTGCTGCCAAGGTCACTTATTATCAATGGGGGGAGCAGGGGTGGGGGGGCGTGGAACTGGACACAACACGGGAATGACACATTGGCCACGGGGACACTCAGAAGAAGAGGACCAAGACAGGCCACCTTCCCAAGAAGGCACAGATAACACTCTAAATTAGAATAAAAAAAAAAAAAAAATCCTTCGGTATCTCCCAGTCCCTCCCCTCTCCCCCCTCCCTCCTGCCCCCCAAACCAGATCAACTCAGAGTGATCCCCACCGAGGCCAGGGCTTCAGTGGCCCAGGTGGGACAGAGGGTGGGGTCCCCATACATGGTGCCCATGAAGTCCCGGACGAAGTCAGGGAAGCGCTTCTCCACGATGCTGGCCCTCACGGCGCTCATCAGCTGCAGCTGTGGGGGGTGAGGGAGAATGTCAGCCAAGGTATCAGCCAGGGGGCCCCAGGACCCTCCCCAGTCCCGCCCCCAGGGCCTGGCCCACCCCGGCACCTGGTAGGCAATATTGTGGACGGTGAGGTGATGCAGGGCGGCCGTGTTGTCGCTGTGCAGCAGAGCGTGCAGGAAGGCCCGGCTGTGCCTGGGGACAGGAGGCTGGGGCTCAGCCCCTCGGAGTCCTGCTGCCATCCACACCCTTCCCCAGCCCCCGGGCCCAGCTTCCCCTACTTCTGGCAGGTGGGACAGGCACAGTTGTTGTCTATGGGCCGGAAGTCCTTCTCATACTGCTTCTTCTTCAGCTGCAGGTTCCCGGTGGGCACCAAAGCTGAGCCAAAGCGCTGGGGGAGGGGTGGACGAGGGCAAAGGGGAGGGTGTCACCCAGGTCTTCATCCGCACCGTTCCCCCCACCCTGCCCCCACCCCGTCTGCCCCCTGCCCAGGGCCTCACCGCCGTCCGCGTGGGGAAGACGCAGTCGAACATGTCACATCCAAGAGCCACGCAGACCACCAGATCGGTGGCATAGCTGAGAGGACGGCCGTGGCAGGAGGGAGCAGAGAACCTCATGCCCTGCTCACACACTCAGGTCTCCCCCCACCCCGCAGACACCCCAACTCCCCGGACACTGGGCCACCTTCCCCCCAAACCGCCCCCAGAGGAAAGCCGTGTCCTCCTTCGGTCCCCTCCCAGGCAGGGCCGTGTCCTTCCACCAACAGGAACCTGCTCGCTCCCCACAGGTAGGGCCGCTTCCCCTCCCTCCACATACCCGACCCCCATCAGGTAGCGCGGCTTGTCCTTAGGCAGCCTTGAGGTGCTCAGCGCCACCATCCTCCAGAACTGGCCCTTGCTCTCGCCCCCGCTCAGGCCCCCGATGGCGAAGCCCGGCACGTCCCTCTTGGTCATCTCTGGGGGTACAGGGCAAGGTGAGGGGCCACCAGGCAAAAGAAAATACACCGCCTCCTCAGCAGCCCTGGGGCAGACCCTGCCCACCCAGACATCCACAGTCCCTCGGGAAGAAAGGGGAGTAGTGTCTGTCTGTCTGTCTAAAGGCTGCTGGTGCTCTCAGCTCCCATTTGTTGGGTGCCTGCTGCGTGTGAGGCCCCTCCCCTCCTGTAATCCTCAGGACAGGCCCACGGCCTCTGCTCCCTTCACCGGCCTCTGCTCCCTTCACCGCCACCGAAGACAACACCAGGTATGTTGCGAAACTGAGCACTTCCCAGATTCTAGAACCTAGAACATCCCATGTGCTGGATAATAGTCCGTCCTCAAACTCTAACATTTCGGAGGCAAAACATGTCGAGACTCCCACCAACTGGGGTAAATAACCCCACAGGTCTGGGCTGGCCACCAAAGGAGTTAGGTGCAAATTTCCGAGCATTCTGCATTTTAAAAGTGGGCCACTAGGCCCCCGAAAGGCAGCTCTGAGCCGTTGTTGGGGTGTTCGGGTCTCGACGCTGGCCCAAGGCTGCATATGCCAGAGGCTGGACGTGAACCCGGGTCCAGCCTCCGAGCCCAGCCGTGTCTGGGGCCCCAGTTGCCTAGTTCCACCACGGGAGGCCACGGCATGACAAAATGGACCCGGTCCAAGGGTCAGTTTTCGAAGCTGGAATGAGCAGCCGAATCCATGGGGTGGGGGGACAAGTTGTTCAAATGTGGTCTCCCAGCCCCTCCCCGCGGACCCTGATCCATCCGTGGGGAGAAGCCAGACGGCACTGGTACAGGCGAGCTTGGAGCATTTTGAGAAGCATCAGCGTGGCCGCAAACCGAATCTGCTAGGGCAAGACCAGCGTGGTTTGTTGCTGTTTTTTTAAAATGAGCGAACAGAGAATGCCAGGAAATGTTCCACATGTTAAAGCTAATGTTTCCTGAAGTCTTGGTTTCTGCTTTCATCTATGTCCACACATACTGAGCTATGACAGGAAATGTGTCTCTGCCTAGGGGGTCTCTGTTAAAAAGACTTACTGGACTGGAAGCTGGGCACAGCTTGAGAAGAAAAGGAATTACAGCAAGGATGTTCTGCACAACGGGACACACGGATGCCAGGCAGAGGCCCAAGACTTTGGACAGACTTTCCTGTTTATCCTCTCACTTCGACCCATGACATTGGGAACATGTGCCCATTTTACAGAGGAAAAAAGGGAGCCTCAGAGAGGCCAAGCCAGTAACCCAAAGGTGCACAGCCAAGAAGAGATCAGAGGTCTGGATCCGGCAGCCAAACTCTAGGACTCACAGTCTTGCCTATGACGCTTCATTGCCTTTGAATCCCCATTTCTATCTCCCTTTTGTCTCCATGGCCACGGCCTTTGTGTAGGCCTGTCACTCTTCCCCTGGGCAAATACTCCAGCCTCTTTATGGGCTTTCTGCCTCCTATCCTACAGGGATATTTTCCATGATGCCTCTTGGTCGCTGTCACTCTCCCACTCAACAGCCCTCCATGGCTCCCCAGTACCTCAGTGAGGTATCCCAGGGCCTCCCATGTCAGCGCAAAGCCCTGGGCCCCACCCCTCACTCCTGACCCTGGGGAGGAACCAGCACCTGCACCGGTTAATGCTGTGGGTTCTATAGCCCAAGAACTGGGTCTAAACCCCAGCTCTGCAATGTCCCAGCTGCGTGGCTTGGGGCAGGTGACCGGACAGCCCTGTGCTTCAGGTTCCTCTTCTGTAACCTCGGGAACCTGGGAGTTCCCACCTTATAGGATGGTTATGAAAACTCTGGATCAATCTGTGACCGGCCCACGGCATAGCATCCAGTGAACACCCCCCAACCACCAGCTGTTGGAATGACTATCATTCGGCAAACATTCTAGTCCGTTCTGCCCCCGGGCCTTTGCTTCAGCTATTCCTTCCACCCCTCAATAACCACCGTGTGCACCATCACATGCCAGGCCCATGGGGGGCCCTCAGTGATGGACAAGCCCTGGATGGACCAGCGCATGGGTCTACCTTCGAGGCAGGTGGTCCGGAGATCCGCGTCTAGCCCACCCTGGATGATGGCAAAGAGATTTTGCTTGTCTGGTCGCTGATGGGCTGCGATGCACCGGTCCAGCCAGCGGATGGACCTGTGAGAGGGCCCAAGTCATGAGCTGTAGGAGAAGCGGACAAGGCTACAGGACTAGGATCTGCTTCCTGACACACACACACCTGTACATAGCCTCCTCCACGCGTGGCCCCGTCACAGTGCTGCTGACCACATCATCTAGTTGCATGATGATGTCTGAGCCTGGGGGGGGTGAGACAGAAGCACCATCACTGGGAAAGCCTTCACTTCCTGCTGGGGATAAGCTGGACCTTCAAAGTGCCTCCCTGGGTCTTACTGGCTTCCACACAGCCCCCCAGTCTGTTCATACAACAACCAGAGGGAGGTTTTGAAAATACCCATCAGATCTCGCCTCACCCCAGCTGAAATCCTGCCGGAGCACAGGGAATGAAATCCCACTCCGGCAGAATTAACCTTCGAGAGCAAAATGTTGTGTATACAAAGCAAACCGCCCCGGTGTGGCAGGCAACGGGACCACGGGAGCCCAGGTGCCCATTAACAGTTGTCTGGCTCAGTAAGTCAGGGTCCAACCCTTAACACAATGTTCCTTTCCCACAATTCCAAAATCTAGAAACTTCCCAAAACCAAAGACTTTATCTCATGCCTACAGCATATCTAATTTGACATCAAAACCCAAGATAGATAGTCATTATCTTTAATAAAATCCGATTTAGCAGGTGACTTATTCAGTCTCAAAAAGGAAAAAAAAATCTGACATATACTACAACGTCATGGCCATTAGGCTCAGTGAACTAAGCCAGACACAAAAAATGACAAATACTGTATGATTCCATTTGTATGAGGTCCCTAGAGAAGTCTAGGGACAGGAAGTAGATGGCGGCAGCCAGAGGCTGAAGGAGGGGGATGGAGAGTTAGTGTTTAATGGGAACGGGGTTTCAGCTTCACAGCATGAATAGTTCTGGAGAAGGATGGTGGTGAACGGTTGCACAACAGTGTAAATGTGCTTAGTGCCACTAAATCAGACACTTAAAACACGGTTAGAGTCAGGGTAGCTGGCTGACTCAGTCAGTAGAGCTTACCACTCTTGGTCTCACAGTCATGAGTTCAAACCCCACATGGGGCATGCAGCCTACTTAAATAAATTTTAGAAATAAAATTTTTTTTAAAGATTTTATTTATTTATTTGACAGACAGAGATCACAAGTAGGCAGAGAGAGAGAGAGAGAGGAGGAGGCAGGCTTCCCGCTGAGCAGAGAGCCCGATGCGGGGCTCGATCCCAGGACCCTGGGATCATGACCTGAGCTGAAGGCAGAGGCTTTAACCCACTGAGCCACCCAGGCGCCCCCCCCACCATCTTTTTTTAATGGAAAGAGGGAAGTTTAACAGGGTGCTGCCCAGACCTACCAGGACACTGTGTATGTTGCATTATCCTTCTAAAATACTACAATTCTGAATTAACCTGAAAAATTTCAGATGAGGGGCTGTGGATTTATACATGTTAGAAAAGCTCAGGGAAACACTGCCAAGATGCATCATTCCAGGAAAAAAGCACGGTGCACCGCACAAACCAAGATGGGGCAATTTGATAATCAATATGGATCGATTCAACTGAAGAAATTGAGACACATCAAATACATCTAAACCCATGGTTAAATAAACAAATGAGCAAACAAACCAACCAACTCACAATTACATGGTGATCCTAAAAACACTAAAGATTCATTCATCCCTGGGGCGCCTGGGTGGCTCAGTGGGTTAAAGCCTGTGCCTTCAGCTCAGGTCATGATCCCAGGGTCCTGGAATCGAGCCCTGCATCGGGCTCTCTGCTCCGCGGGGAGTCTGCTTCCTCCTCTCTCTGCCTGCCTCTCTGCCTACTTGTGACCTCTGTCTGTCAAATAAAAAAACAAAATCTTTAAAAAAAAAAAAAAAAAAAATCATTCATCCCTGCTAGAAGATGCTAAGTAATCAATCCATGAGAACCAGTAAATAAGGAAAAGAATGAATCCCACTTTTCCTATATAAATTGAACTACTTCATCTCCCAGGAGTAAGTGAGGGACGTTTCTCTTTACAGAAATAACCTGGTTGGGGCGCCTGGGTGGCTCAGTTGGTTAAGCCTCTGCCTTCAGCTCAGGTCATGGTCTCAGGGTTCTGGGATAGAGCCCCACATCCGGCTCTCTGCTCAGCAGGGGGCCTGCTTCCTCCTCCCCCTCTGCCTGCCTCTCTGCCTACTTGTGATCTCTCTCTCTCTGTCAAATAAATAAAATTAAAAAAAAAAAAACAAAAAAAAAAAACCTGGGTGATAGATGAAGAAAGAACATGACCACTTTGGAACTCCTCATGGCATGAGAGTCCCAGGCAAAGAGCACGATGGCTCCCGGGGAGATCCCAGCAGAGGTTTGGCGCTCCCTGATGAAAATACACACGCTGCGAAGCCCTCTCGCTACAGGAAACCAGAACCTGATTTGCGCAAACCCCGAGATCTGACTACCAACTACAGTAAATCCAGAAGGCAGAAGAAGACTGTTACATGCACCGTGGAGATGCGATCAGCAAAATTCAGACCCTGGGACACCCTATGGGGGAAAGGAACTCATCTCTTGAAGGAGCAAATTTATGAATAAATGAACGAACAAATGAATGAATGATGAATGAATGAATGAATGACGACTGAATGGATGAATGAATGAATGAATAAATAGGCGCCCAGTGGTGAGACGGAGCCCCACCTCCAACCCCACTCCGCCTCCTCCCTTAGCAGGGCTCCGCTTGGGATGCTCTGCCTCTCCTCCTGGCCCTCCCCTCCTCTGTCCCAAATAAATAAATAAATAAGGTCTTTTCAAAAAGGAAGACGACAGGAAGGAGGTACAGCTAGAAACTACATAATGTGCACTATATACAATATATACCACAGAGAAATAAATGTTCATTGTCTTTATCAAGGGATGAAAGATATTGATATAAACAGGAAGAACAGAAGGCTTCCCCCATCACCCCCTTGTTGCTCTCATTATTTCTCATTATTAATCGTTGCCCTGCTAATTTCCATTTAAGAGAAAGAACAGCTTTAGAGATATGATAAAGCTCCTACATGCCAGGCACTGTGTTAAGCGATGAACAAACATTACGTCATTACTTCTGTGAACTATCCTCACTTGAGTTGGCTCCTCTGAAGCTCAGGCAGGGGGAGTGACTTACCCAAAACGGAGCATCCCCTAAGGACCCCGCCCGCCTCACCTCCACCCTCTAGAGGCAAGGCAAGAGCAGGTGGCCCAGGATTCGCTCACCTAAAGCGTTCTGGATCTCCACGGACTTCTCCGGGCTCAGAAGGGTCTCGTCGCCATCGTAAGGGGAACGGAAGCGGACGCCTTCCTCCGTCACCTCGGAAAGGGACACCAGAGACACCATCTGGAAGCCGCCGCTGTCCTGAGGGAAATCCCACCGCAGGGCTGTCAGGGGGGTGGCGCCCTGGGATCCCAGGCGCCCTGGGATCCCGGCCCCGACTCCACCTCACCGTCAGTAGATTGTGGGGCCAGTTCATGAAGCCGTGGAGACCGTGGGCTTTCTGGATCAGCTCGGGGCCCTGGGTCAGGAGAAGAAAGGAACAAGTTAGCGGGGGGCGCTACCCTGAGGGCTCATGTTGGAGGACAAGCCTGGCCACCTACGGTCCCCGCCGCTCCCTCCTGCCCCCGCCGCTCCCTCCTGCCCGTGCCTCGGAGGTGCCCGTACTCCCCACTACCTGCCATCTCCCCATCAAGGCACAACCGACCCACCGGCCTCAGACCCAGATGATAGGTGTTGCCCAGGCAGATGCGGCAGCCCAGAGCGTCCAGCTGCTCGGCCGTGATGCCCTTCATAGTGGCCTGCGTGCCCACTGGCATGAACACGGGAGTGGCTACCGGCCCGTGCGGCAGCCGTAGCTCCCCTGCCCGGGCCCTGGATCGGCTGCACTCCGCCACCAGCCGCATGATTCGCGGGGCCGACTCCAGAGACGTCGGGCTGAGTGCTGCCGCCATTTTAGCTAAGGGAACCACGTGTCCACTGCAACACCCTGGGCGGTGCCATGTTGATTAAAGTCACGTGAGGCGGGCCCCGGGCGGTCTCTTTGGAAGCTAGTGAGGGAACCATGGCAACGGACGCCGGTATGCTAGTCCCCGCGGAGCTGCTAGTTAGTTCCCACCGGCTGTGTCTGGTTTGTCCCACTGACAAATAGATGTTGTTATGGATTCGAATACTACCCCGGTCACTTCTCTGCTCTACAATCAAAGCCTCTCTCCAAGCGTTAATTTTCTTCTCTATAAAACGGAGCGAATAATAGTGTTTTGGTATTAAAAACGTTGTGAAAGGGGCGCCTGGCTGGCTCGGTCGGTAGAGCATACCACTCTTGACCTGGGGGATTTAGGTTCAAGCCCCACACTGGGTGTAGAGATTACTTAAAATCCTTTCACAAGTCAATAAAAATAAACTTTGTAAAGATTGAGAAGCATGGATGTATAGAGATCTTTATTAAGCTGCCTTGCACAAGCTTTTGTCTATCTTGCCCATTGATTTGTCCCAAGAACTTAGAACAGCTCTTAGCACACAGGACGTGCTCCATATACATTCGTTTATACAATGAGAGCAAGAATCCCAGATTTATAGAACAGACTCGAGACTCAGAACCTAGCCACATTTATACGTTCATTTATTTATACGTTCATTATACCTACTAGTGCCAGCCTTCGTGCTGCACAATGATGAGAGAGGCTGGGTCATGGATTTATTGAGTACTGTGTTCTACTAATACTAACAAAATATTATGTATTAGATTATTATTGTTGAAAATGGAGCCGATATCTGTCCCAGCCAGCAGAGGGCAGCATTGCCCCAGAATCTTTCCGCTCAGGGGCTCGCTGGCCTAAATTGCGCGGATCTGAGCAAGACTCTGACCTTCAAAGAGCCTTGAGCTAATGACGGCGGCTTTTCTGAGCGGTGGACAGTCTTCGCTGAGGCCAAGGCCTGAAAACGCCCAACCATGAGGGCCACCCCAGGGCCTTTGCACTAGCTATTGCCTTTACCTGCAATACTCTTCCTTTCTGATTTTCCCATGGCTGGCTCGTATTTTATCAGTTGCTCCTGACTTCTCCAATCTTAATAACGCTCCACCCCTATCACTCTGTATCATATTGCTTGTAACTCCTATTGTGCTTGTAAAACCTCTATACATCGATAGTGCTCAAATTTGTATTTCCAGTGTAGTCCTCTCTCATTGAACTTCCATCTCCTCTTTACAGATGCCTCCTTGACATCTCCACTGGGTGTGTGTCCGCACTCAAACTCCAGATGTATAAAACAAAGCTCCTGATTGTCCCCCCAAGCTAGCCTATGTCCTTCCATCTTCCTCTTCTCAGTAATAGCAGCTCAATCCTTCCAGGAACTCAGACCAGAAATTTGTGGGTGGTCCTTGAGCTCTCATTCTGACCCAGCCACCAGCATCCCTTACCTGGATTATTACAGTAAATGGCTCACTGGTCTTGTGGCTTCTGTTCTTTACTCCCCATACAATACACCTGACGATATTTTAAAGGACATGCTTTCAGCATTTCACCATTATGTATGATATCTACTGTAAGTTTTTGGAATATGCACCATATCAAGTAAAGAAAGGACACTTGAGGGACGCCTGGGTGGCTCAGTTGGTTAAGCGGCTGCCTTCGGCTCAGGTCATGATCCCAGGGTCCTGGGATCGAGTCCTACATCAGGCTCCTTGTTCAGTGGGGAGCCTGCTTCTCTCTCTGCCTCTGCCTGCCTCTCTGCCTGCTTGTGCTCTCCCTCCCTCTCTCTCTCTGACAAATAAATAAATAAAATCTTTTTTAAAAAAAAGAAAGGACACTTGAGGGCACCGGGGTGGCTCAGATGGTTAAGCATCTGCTTTCGGCTCGGCCCTGATTCCAGGGTCCTGGGATCAAACCCCACATCAGGCTCTCTGTTGAGCAGGAAGCCTGCTTCTCCCTCTCCCTCTGCCTGCCCCTCCCCCTCCTTGTGCTCTCTCGCTCTCTCTCTCTCTCTCCCCTGCTGTCAAATTTTTTACTAGTTCATTAACAGATTTTTGTTGTAAATAAATATTTACTGTATGCTTTTTCAGTATCTGAAATAGCCATATTATTTGGCTCATGTAATTTAAAATGTCCAATGACATAAATTTATTTTATTTACTAACACATTTATTTCATTCCTGTATAAGCCCACCTTGGTCATGGTATCTTTTTTTTTTTTTAAGATTTTATTTATTTATTTGACAGAGATCACAAGTAGGCAGAGAGGCAGGCAGAGAGAGAGGAGGAAGCAGGCAGGCTCTGCTGAGCAGAGAGCCCGATGCGGGGCTTGATCCCAGGACCCTGAGATCATGACCTGAGCCGAAGGCAGAGGCTTTAACCCACTGATCCACCCAGGCACCCCGATCATGGTATCTTTTTATATACTATGGCATTTGACATTAATTTTAATTAATATTTTAGTAAAGCTTTTGCATCCCATCTGTTATAAATTATATTAGTCCCTACTCTTCCTGTCTTGTACTGTCTTTGCCTGAGTTTGGTGTTCAAATACCTATTTGCTAGAAAAAATTCTGCGAGATTGGAATTACCTCTTTCTGGAATATTTTATTGGCCTTGCTTGTATATCAATCTAGTTATATTGTTTTCGCAGAAGAAATATCTGTAGCTACTGATTTAAGGGATTTTGTTTTGTTTTGTTGTTTAATTTTTAAGATACACTCTATGGCCAACATGGGGCTCCAACTGGGGACCCCAAGAGTGATCAAGAGTCACCTGTTCTACCGACTGAGCCAGCCTGGCGACCCACCCTGGATCTTGAAAGACAGTCTCAGGGCACCTGGGTGGCCCATTCGGGTAATCGGCAGCCTCTTGATCTCAGCTCAAGTCTTGATCTCAGGGTGGTGAGTGCCAGCCCGGTGTTGGCTCCACGCCCAGCCTTGAGACTACTTAAAAATCATCATCATCACATGGGGTGCCTGGGTGGCTCAATGAATTAAGCGTCTGCCTTCTCCTGGGGTCACGATCTCAGGGTCCTGGGATCGAGCCCCACATGGGGCTCTCTGCTCAGCAGGGAGCCTGCTTCCCCTCTCTCTCTGCCTGCTGCTCTGCCTATTTGTGACCTCTATCTCTGTGGCAAATAAATTAATAAAATCTTTTTGAAAAAGAAGAAGTAGGTAGGGTCTTGGGTGGCGGCGGGAACGTGGGGAGCCGGGCCAGCCAGGCCAGCGCGCTCTCCACTTCTGCGAGATCGACCGCGGTGGCGTCTCCACGAGCAGAACCAGCGGATTTTGTCGCGGCTACCGGGCTGCGGGGCGGTTCTCACGGAGCCCGTGGCGGCCCCGAGCTAGGCGCAGTTCGGGAAGAAGTTGCAAGGGTGAGTGTGACGCAGGCTCATCCACGTGCGGGACCTGGCCTGGCTGCGCCTGCCGGGCAGACCTGGTGGTGACTGAAGTGACCCAGCCATCGCAGGGTGTAGGGTATGAATTGGGCGGGGCTTAGCGAATAAGCGAATCCTGTGCCGATTCCATCCGCGGTCATGATGCCGGGAGCGGCAGACGGCTCGAGGTTCCAGGTGTCGGACTATGAAGGGGGACAGGTGGAGGTCACACTGGATGGCTACTTAGAAGTTGACCCTCCCTAACAGGTGGCTGCCTCCCTGACCCAACCGCTTTACCTAACCCCACTTCCTTCTGTTTCTCTAATCCCAGACTGTGCATTAGGGCCCCTTCTTGTCCCTTAGCCCCGGTGACAAATTAACAGGTATGTTTACAATTCTAGGGAAGAGGGCGACCGGGTGACTCCGTTGGTTAAGCGTATGCCTCCCGCTAGGGTCATGATCCCGGGGTCCCGGGATAGAGTCTGGAGCCCCGCATCAAGGTCACTGCTCAGGGGGGAGCCTCCTCCTTCCTCCGCCTGCGGTTCCCTCTGCTTGTGCTCTTTCTCTCTCCCTCTGACAAATAAATAAATAAAATCTTAAGTAAAATAAAATAAAATTCTTGGGGGAATAAAAGAACTAGGATCTCAATCAAAATGCTATTTCTTGTGATCTTTCTTTCTGGTTTCTTCCTTTTTTACATTTTTAAGATTTTATTCATTCATTTTACAGAGAGAGAGAGATCACAAGTAGGCAGAGAGACAGGGGGAAGCAGGCTCCCCGCTGAGCAGAGAGCCCGGTGCCGGGTTCGATCCTAGGACCCCGGGACCATGACCTGAGCAGAAGGCAGAGGCTTTAACCCACTGAGCCACCCAAGCACCCCAGTTTCTTTCTTTCTTTCTTTTTTTAAGTCATTCTTTTTTGTCATTTTGCAATTTTATATAATGTGTCTCGGGGTGGATTTCTTTTAATTTATCCTATTTGAGATTCCTTCAAATTCTTGGATCTGGTGATCAGAGCCTTTCCATAATTTTGGAAATGCTCAGTTGTTCTTTAAAGAGCTGCTCTTGCCTCAAAGAGCCTCAACACAGGGGGGCTGAGAGCAGGACAAGAAATGCTGAGGTGTGGGACACCTGGGTGGCTCAGTTGGTTAAGCGGCTGCCTTCGGCTCAGGTCATGATCCCAGCGTCCTGGGATCCAGTCCCACATCTGGCTCCTTGCTCAGCGGGGAGCCTGCTTCTCCCTCTGCCTCTGCCTACCACTCTGTCTGCCTATGCTCATGCTCTCTCTCTCTCTGTCTCTCTCTCTCTAACAAATAAATAAAATAAAAAATCTTAAAAAAAAAAAGAAAGAAATGCTGAGGTGTTACCCATCCTGAGAAGATAACCCCCATCTGGGGGCTAAGGGTGAACCAACCTTATTCGCCTGGGTGCTCCAGTCTGACCTGGAGTTTCCATCTCGCTGAACTGGTAGAAGAAAGGGAGGCAAAAATATCAAATACCAGAAACACTCACTATTCTAACTGAACCGTCTCATAGATTTTCTTGAATGGTTCCTTCCTCACTTACTGTATGCCCTTGGGACCACTTCCAGAAATGTTCAATGGTTCTT